ACACCAGATAACTGAAACAGATGCACTTTGAAGAATGGGAACTCACCCCAAAAATTGTTAGATATTTTGGTGTTGAGTATTGACAGACAGTACAATACAATGCAACCACTGCAGTCAAAGGAGATCATATATCTTGTGAAGACTTTTTGTTTGTTGTTCTGCATTTCGACAGACAATTTCTGTACCAAAATCATTCTGTCAATTAAAACTTTTTCTTTAAATTCTTCTTTTTTCTATGAATTAAAACTTTGTTCCATACCGTTATGCATCCTATTGAATTTTTTTGGCTACTATACTTTCCTCATCCTTTAAGTAGTACATTGTGCTTCTATAGCATGAATTTCATGTCTCTTACTTGATTATTTAAGGAATTACGGCCAAAATCAAAAAAGTTCCTTAAGTTTTGCACAAGTATATTAACTGATTAAATACATTTTGAAAGTCCATAAGAAGTTTTACAAATATCTACGAAAATTAAGACAATTCAAATGAAATAAATATGCTAAAAAATATGAAAATCAATAAGGGCTGAGAAAATTAAATCTCTAACATTTAAGTTTTATTACTTCAATAAATTTAATTTACTGCTGGAAACATTTTTCCAAGTACATGCTAAAAACTAAGAGATTCTGATCTACCAGGAAGTCGTGAGATATGATGGAAAACCAGGAAAGAATACCACTATTAATTATAGACAATATTTTCATGTTCATTTTAATTAGCTTTCTGAAATCTATAGCTTAAGACTTTCCTTACCTAGCAAATTCAATCATTTCAGTTCTTTGATTTACCTTCTATTAAAATACATGACTATTATTCATATCTAGGCTAATAATACTACCACTATGAATTTCCAACATTTTAGGCACTCAATATGCATAATTCCTCCAATCTAATTTATTAAATTTAATATAAACAAATATATTTTTATTAACTATGGACACAGGGATGTGATATATTTCTACTTTAAAACTTAATTTCCTCACACAACATATCAGGCTGAATTTACCAAGTAAGAATTCCACCTTCACTTTAACTAAAAAAAGCACTGTATTATCAACAAAATTCCAGTTAACAGAACTGGATTTCAGGTAATGAATATCTTTCTTACAAATATCAAAGAAGTTTCCAATGGTGCAAAACCTTCCAAGCAGAAATTTGGGATAATTTACTGCATATGCTATATTTACAAATATAGTAAATGCTTGAAAAAATCTATTTAGATATGCATTAGCAGCAAGAGCCACAAAAATATTTCCTCACATATACACATTGTGCATTAAAAAATTCACACAATCATTAAAATCAACCGATCAATAAATTTTCTCAGATGTTGAAAGTTCTGCAGAATTTGTTGGATATTCAAAAACTTGGCAAATCCATACACACAGTAAGATGCCACAACAAACACCCTAATTTCCCTTTCATATATATGCTTGTTTAACTGGAAATAGTATAGAGATATGGCAGATAAAGAAAAAGCTGTAGAGATTCTCTGGAAATATTTTTCATGTGCAGTTTGACATTTGGTTTAAACAGTACTCAACAAGTTGCAAAATATCAATATATCTTCAGGCCTTTACATATTACAAAAGAGGTAAACGATGACTGGGTCAATAATGCTTCTCTACAACGACGCTCATTATGGAATATTGGCTATATTTCGTACACACACAAACTCTCATCAGAGTGAAACAAAACAGTAAGCTATAGCTGAACATGGTATGCCTCCACAAATTAAGTAAGCAAGCACTGCTACCAACACATAGCAATTAGCAAAACATTGCAACAAATACCCATCCCCAAAAAATTTGCTCCAGTCAGCCCTTCTTAGAACATAAATTTCTGACAAAACGAAATCCAGATTTTAGCGAATGATTATCAAACAGGGAAATGAGGTATGTTTATGGTAATAATCATAATCCTCTCGAGAAGTTATAAACTTAGCTTGCTATGAACAGGTCCATTAGGCAAACTATTTGCTACATCATTTCTCTAATTCTCATTATGTTTCATTTAAATGATTACTGCAAAGCAAACTAGGGCTATTTGCCCAAGAGGATAGAAGACTTTCTAAGGAAAACTAGCTCATATATACTTTATACACGAGAAAAACCCCAATGCAGCCAGCCCATTCGCCTGGACTCACAGGTTTGAATTACCAGCGTTCAGCAATTTTAGTGCTCAGTCACTGGTGGGAACTCTTATTTAGGACAATTTACATACATAATAGATCACTTTCATGGTGGAGATGATGCAACTTCAAACTTTCATTACTAATTTATACCATCACCAAGTTGATATTTTGACTATATAATGCATATGTTACCACATAAACAGTCCAAAATGACACAGCAACCAAATTAACATGTTTAACCCTTTCAGTATTGAATTATTTGAAGATTTTTATGCCCATGGAATGGGTTTAATTTGTCTTCATATGGATTAATATGTAAAAGTAATACATTTTATTTGGAATATACTTATATTGATAACATTGGTAATCGCTCCCCAAATCTACGATTTTCTTCCAAGCCTTTAGCTCAGAAACTTGGTGGCCACGAGTCCAAAAACAGATCCTCATTTTGGACGTTCTGTGTAGAATGAAACACAGTTCCATCCAGCAAGATGTAACTGCAGATGTGAAAAAATGAAGTCCGAAGAAGCGATGTCGGGCTATATGGTGGGTATGGCAAAAGATCCCATTCAACTCCATGTCACACTGCACTTTGTGATGCTGCAATGGGCTCACCGAGCACAGACCAACCACCTTTTCGGCCTATGTTGTTGAAGTAAATCCACTTTTCATCACAACTGACATTCTAGTCCAGAATTTTATCCTTGCGTTCATTTTTGAGCAGATGAGTGCAGGCCCAAACATGTCCATCCTTATCTGCTCATGTAGCACACAGTGATTGAACTTGTACATCAAGTTTATGTGATGCATAGCTCAAGTAACGGGCATGGACTAACAACCTGGCAAACTCTCAAATGGCTGCATACTGATCTTCTTTCACAAGTTCTCGCAAGTGGGCCTCAGCAACATCAGTATACCGGGCAGAGCGCTCTGCTTCTCGAATGTCATAGTCCTTGTTTTTGAACTTTATGTACCAAACCTTCACACTGATATGGTCATATGATACATTAATACCTAAAGCTGTACACATGATGCAGTGACATTCTGCAGTTGCAGTGGACTTTTGCAACAGAACAGAAAATAAATGGTTTTAATCTGGTAACGTGATAGTTCCATTTTAGACATCTTGCACTTAATGATATCTTTTTAAACGTTTCACGAGACAGTGTTCTAAAGCAAGTCTCTTTCAAATGCCAAAAATCGTTTGACAAAATATGATTAAGCACGCCAACGCAAACTGTTTGTACAGATGATATTTGCAATGGTGGGAAACTTTCATTAACAACCCGGTATATTTATCACTTACTTATAAACAGGACAGCAATTTGGTTACCATGACAAATTATCAATTCCTATAAAAAGTTTAGCATTCGCTTCTTTTTGGAGCCCTTATTCTTTAATATCCAATATATTACCTATGGCAACTCTAAAAACAAATACTTGTCATAAGAACAACTACTAGTACACTACACTTTTGTTTTTTCTTTAAGTTAGATACAGCTCAGAAAGAAAGAGCTATGAGTAGCCACATGTTAACCTATTTTCATTTCTCTGAAAAATGTAATGATTTATTGCCAACTGAAGAATATGCTATTTCTTCCATGAAACACATTTTATCTCGCATCTGAATATGCCCAGAACAGTTTGTAAAAGTGTTGCAATTCATTTACTGAAGTACAGATGAAGTGATATCAATTAAGAGCATCAGAATCAATTTAACCTTTATAAAAATGTGACTATTGACTATAATAGTTTTATGAAAAAGATAGAGAATATATTTAGTATGATTACATGAAGAATTTGGTGGCCCTCATAAAATTGTTAAAATAAACAAGTTTGTTCACCCAGTAAAAAAAACATATGCTGCTTTCCAGAGCAACGGCCAGGAATAGGTTTTGCCAAGGAACTGGCAAATACTTTCGTGTACAGGTTCTAAAGCAAGAGAAAACACTCATTCTAAAAATAATGGATCACATACAAGAAGGATGAATTATTTATTCACTGTTAGTAAGCATACAAAATAAATAAACTGAGAAACACAGGATACAATTACTACGATGAGAATCAAATTTTATTTTGTGGATCTAAAAACAGCTTCTTGTAAACGAAATATTAAAAGACTGGTTCTGTTAAATGGCTTAAGAAGTAACACATCATTAAGTCCTACTGAGAAATTTATTTTGCAAAAATCCTTTTGATGCTATATGAAGAGCAAGTGCCGAAACAAACTGTAGGCGAGAAGTAAACATGAACTTGGCAGTAATCCTGATACCATTATGACGTGATTATGTTGTTCATCTTGTTTCAATTACATGCTCTTGAAAAACGGCTGTATCTAACTGCCCTTTATACTTAATAGCGCAAATTTCCAAGGAGCTGAATACCTTTATATTTCAGTATTTAATCTCGAAAGGGAATTTTACAAGAATTCTAGTTAGCTCATTTATATTATGACATTTATCCAAATTTCATTTAGAAAAGAACAATAATATTAACACACTGGAAATCAAATATGAGAATTATTGTTTTTGGGTTCAAAAATTTGTGATCAGCAATGTGTTAACGGCTAAGCTATATTTCCCAATTTTAAACTTGTTTTATCAAATCAAAATATAATAAAAATCAATCATTATAGCTTAACATTATATATTTAAAGTGACTGTCATGATTTTATGTTCTTAAAAGCACAAATGTATAATTAATAAATGTATCTAACTTTAAAGCCACATACAATTTATTTTTAATCTGCATGCTATTACAATGAATGTATAATGTGTACAGCTTAGTATATGCAATGTCTATGTGCAGAAATCAAGGTATGTACAGATTTTGGTGTTATAATAGATTCAAAGAAAAGCAGCAATTTTTGGAATGACATCTTTTATTGAACCCAGAGGGTGCACCGATTTACAAAAAGCAGGTTTAGGGATATTTAATATCAGAATGCACTGAGACTTAATGATACATGCCACGAAAGCAGTAAAAATCCAATGGAATGTTACATGTTTAATGAAAAACAGCAAGCCAATTAAAAGTTCAATTTCTTATTTTTATACTTATAAAATAATCTCATTCCAAATTTAAGATGATTACTTCAATACAAAAGTTTAATATAATTTAAATAGGCTCAAATATCCAATTAAACAGATCTTTAAGGCAATATAAAATGGGCACAATTTCTTTTTATAACAAAATTGTATGAAAAACCTATGCTCGACAAAAACCTATATAAAATGCAGCATCAAACACTAACACGAACATTGATTTTCATCATTAGCAATGCAAATATATTCACTAAACGGGTATGATTTTAATGTTTTTTCTAATACACTAATTACTTTTGAAAAAACAATAGCACAGTTCACTATAAAGATTACCTGCTTTCACCCCCCTTCAAATTTATTCCATAATTCAAAATTTAAACTCCTCCACTACAGTTAAAATGGCCACTTGAACTCAAGTTGGTGACTAGCTCTTTCCACAACATGGTAACATAAGCAAGCAGGTAGTATATCAAAAAGAATTAAGTACAAAAATGGAAAAGTTACTCGATATTAGAAATTTATAACTGTTAATTAAGAACAATTCACAGATGAATATTTTTTGTTGTGGGACTCCAGGAGAAGGGGAGACAGGATATGTATTCCCTCCTCTAACACACAGATAATGCCACAAGCTGGAAGTCTTCGTGGAAGATTCTTTCAAACATAAAGGGGGTGAATGGCGATCAACCTGTAAAGGAAAAAGTAATTTTTAAAAAAAATTTCAAATTAAAGTTGACAACTTATGTTAGACTATACTTATCAAACTTGAAATATGAAAAACTGAAAAGTGTAATGGCACCATTTCAAAACAACAAATAGCTTGAAAACTCAATAATGCCCGATTCATATTAATTATATTTATAATACGATTCCGATGTAAAATACATTAATATTTAGATGTAAATGTGTTATGGCAATTTCAATTTGTAATTTTCTTAACATTTATGCTAAAAAAATCCAAAGTGGGAAAGTAAAACTTATCAATTTACTTTCAGAAATGATTAAAATAATTAATGTACATACTATTGTGTGGAAAAATTAAGTATGCACAATATACTGATGTAAACCAAAATAAAATACATATATTAACTGATTATCCATATAAAGTTCTACAAATGTCAGAATTTAATAAGAAAAATCATACTGAAAATCAGTAAGAGAACAAAATTTGCATGATTTAAGTTTAATTCAATAAATTTAATTTACTGTTAAAAACACTTTATTACTGTTAAAAACACATTTATTAAATGCTAAGAATTAAAAATCAGAAGATTAAGTTAGCTACTGAATGACAAGAAGGTAAGCCAGGATTCATATTATCTCACACATACAAAAATGTAAAACATTCCTTTAATTGTTCTTAGATTACAATTTTTTAAAGTATTGGATAATTCATATGCAGCAGACAACAGAATATTGAGATCAAGTGTCTATACATCCCCCATGCACTTTTGGTAATTGCCAAACACTTGATATTATTTGCAAATTCTTAAATATTTCAGGTCAAACTTATCACGGCTAAATGAAACTATACATTCCACTTCTCAATTTTGAAATAATATATTGTCAAATAAAGGAAAATGTCTACTAAATGCATTGACTGAAGATAGACTGGCAAGCAGTCTTTTCCATTAAAAATAAAATAACTAACACTCACAGATCCTACAGAATCTAAGATTTAATTTTCTTTGAGGAACATTCTCTTTTTCTATCAGCAGCCTAGAAAACTATGTTCAATATGCTTCTTTAACAAACAGTTTGACCAGGCAAAAAGACAAAGATCAAAATTGTTTCTGAAGGTAGCAAAGCCAAAAAATCAGCAATTTTGCTTCAAGATTATGCAGCTACTTCGGAATCTACTATAAGGTCATCTTAGCCATAATCATGATTCTTTTACATACAAGGATACATACAAATATCAGTTTTAGAAGTTTGTCACAAGAAGCTTTATTTCCCAAAATTTTACATAATTTAAAGTACAAAGTTAAAGCTAGAAATCCTTCCCTGCAATTAGCTAACCCATGTGTAACGATGTTGAATACAGTTTTTCTCTTATTAACATAAACAGTTGAAGGCAAACCTGCTGCTTAAATTGGTTCGAGGAAAAATTGCTTGTTGTATTTCTTACCTGTTGATGACTGATCGTCAATACATTTTTCATGATACATGCATAATCACTGATGCATAGTCACCAATGCAAGTGGTGATTTCAAGGAACTTTGTTTTTACACAAGGGTACATAACCAAGTTCTGTAAATCTCCTTTGTAACTGACTTGTGTACAACAGTGCCTGTCAAACAGATTTTTTTTTCCTACTAGCCAAACAAGTTTAAGACAAGCCTGTTGTTAAAATGAATTTTAGCAAAATTACTTTTTGCATTTCTTATTTATTAATGGTTGATCACTGAAACAAGTGATAATTTCATTACTGATGATTCACAATTTCATCACCGATACCAACATAAACACGTTGAAGAGGAAAGCCTGACCTGAAGCAGAAATATGACAAGTTCAAAGCTTCTCTTCAAAATATGAAATTGCTGAGGGATTGGATTATTGTAATTTTGCACAAAACCTGTCAAGGTTATCTGCGCCAGACAAATGGTAACAATGCAATTAGTCATTTGTAAAAACTTCCAGCTTAGGTAAAAAGAGACAGATTACAATCTACGATAAAAGCTGATATCTTAAAAAAGGTTAAAGTCTATTATAAAAGCCAATATCTTAAAAACAGAAACAAATTACGATGATGTGTTTTTCCAATTAAATTTCCCAAGTCCAGTTCTGAAGAATTAAAATGTTTGTGGTGAAAATAATTAAAACTCTGGCATTCCACCAAGATATGATGGACTGTCAGATCTGCATTGCAGTTTGGGCAGCTGGGATTCTCTTCTCCCTTCAGAAGATACTCATGGGTCAGGCGACAATGGCCAATTCTCAGTCGAGTCAAGAGGACATCCTTCCTTCTATTAGCCATACATGGCCAGTATCCAATGGTGGGTTTTACATTTCTCAGCTTGTTATATACTTTGTCATCCCATTGCTTCTGCCATTTGCTGAGAATTATTGCTGAAGGAATAACAGTTCTCTATCCAAATGGACTAAATTATAACCCAATCTATATTGTCTTTGTAGCCGAGGATTTACAAAATATATCGATTGTATACAGCCATATTCACAACCTAAATAGCTAAGAAACAATATCCAAATGGTTACAATTTGTTAAGAGTCTTTAAAACCCGACATACTGAGAAATTCCTGGTAGTTCTGAATAGCCACCATTTGAATAGCCGCAGTAATTTTTCATGAAAAAAGCTCATGCTTAAAGGATTTAAAAAGTTGCTCTGAATATTAGTTTGCCCATAGAAGATCATGAGAAACAAAAATAAGATTTCTACTTGGTTCTGGTTACTCTATCGCTTAGAGTATCAAATTTATCACTTTCAGAGAGCACCCAGTTTTAGAAATTCTCAAAAAATGACAATTGATGGTTTCTAAAAATTCTTTCACTTTGATCCCACATAATTCAAGCAGCTGGAAACTCAGTTCAAAATATTCTTTATTATCAAACTTATCAGACTTAAGCATTAATATATCCATATATAATATCCAGTATAATAGACAATAAAAAGCTCAGAACAGTTACATTAAATTCCTCAGATATAATTACATAAAAGAAAAATATTGAAAATACATAATGTAAATACTATACAGAATTATTTACTTTTTTATAGTAATATAACTTTGTTACATATTCATGCAAGAAATGTTGAATGTATGGTCAGGGCTGCACCTCTTCAGCAGAAACAACTTTATCACCAAGGGCATATATATGCAAACACTTTTTTTTGGGGGGGGAGACAATGCAATAAATTGCTTAATTTGGAATTCAGACATGTACCATATCAAATTTAAACTGATTTGGGGACAATTACATATTTAAGCAAGGAGGGAAGGTTCGCTTTGCATATGCTACATGCCCAGTTCAGGTTGGGAAAAAAAATCGGTTTATATTTGCATAATTTAATATAGATGTATTTTAATAAAAATAAATACAAATTACCCACAGTTAAATAAATTAGTGTGATGGCCGATAGTAAATTTTATCAACGACTTTTGTTTGAAAGCTAGTTGTTGATATTAACCCATTAGCCGCCGATAGTAAATTTTATCAACGATTTTTCTTTGAAAGCTAGTTGATATTAACCCATTAGCCGCTGGTGTTGCGTTGACGCAAGGGTCAAAATAAATCCGTATATAAATACGCAAGATATTTTATACCAGCAGATGATTGTGTAGGGAATATTATGAAGATTATTTCTGTAAAAAAATATTTGCCTTCAACAATTTTATTTATAATAAAAAATTTTTGACCGGGCAAACGAAAATATTTAATGAAAGAATCACCCTCTTTATGAGTGATCTATTTTCAGTCAAGGTCACCGTTTATCAGAACATTACATCAATCAGATGCTTATATTTGTGTTGGGAAGGAAGGGAAAACAGGTGATGCGCTGACGCAATGTCAGCAGGAAACGGGTAATCTCCTTTTTTACTCTCCTTTCGATGTTCTGGTTCACGTTCTGGCTGCTTTAAAAATGCCTATATAGTGAGGTATCTTACATTAGAAGAAGCTCTTCAAAGATTTTTTAATGAAGAAACAGATGATGATAATGTTAATAATGACCAGAACGAAACTGATATTCTGTTGTTCCCCCAGAAATTGCAGAAGTTGGTGATGAAGAAGGGAATGATATTATTTTAAATAATGATATTTTACTAAATGATATTGCTGGGGAAGTTGAAATTCACATAAGTAAGTTTCCGCCCTCTACAAGCAGTGGTAGTCATACGAAAAAGTTTAAAAAGCAGAAAACTGAAAACTTGAAATGGATAAAAAACGACCTGTCAGTTATGTCTCAGGAAGAAAATAAAGAAAGAAATAGAACAGAAACTACAAAAGACAAAATACAAGGTAAAACTATTGGAGAGATTTTCGATTTTCTTTTTAGTTTAGACATTTACTCTCTTCTCGTTGAACAGGCAAATACATACGCTCAACAAAATCTCCCAGAATTTATTACATCTGAAGCCTAAATGGGAAGATTTATTGGAATATTATTGCTAACAGGATATCCTTCTTTACCTCAAGAAGAAATGCTGGTCTCTTGATAAAGACATTTCTGTTCCTATTGTACGAGAATCGATATCACGTTTGCAGTACAGGAATATGAAGCAGAATTTGCATTTGACAATAGTCAAATTGACAATACTGATAAATTATATGAGGTGAGACCGTATCCAAACTTACTAAATATCACCACTTTTTACTACTGAAAATATAAAGTCTCTTTTAGATTCCAGATGCGAGAATACATTACTCTTTTTGCAAATTCCTATTGAGATTGTAGAATTAGCCAGAAATAGATCAGTAACAGGAAGACCTAGTAAATTCAGCATTCAAAAACCACTGCATTGAGATGGCAGACATTTTATTGTAAAGTCCGATGATAACAAAAGACTTCATAATAAAGAGTGCCATAACCAGACTGTTTATAGATGCAAAGTATGTAATGTAGCTTTACATCATGTTTGTAGTGAAGCTTTTCATGCTTGAATCTTTCAATTGAAATAATCTGTATTTGTAAAAGAAATATAATGTATATTTTAATATTAAATTAATTACAAGTAAAGGGATTTGTAGATTTATAAAACGTTATAAAGCTAAAAAGTAATCCAGTGCTCCACTCAAAGGAAACATCGCACAAGTACAATCCTGATCACTAACCAAAGAAACAATAGAACATAATATTTCATGGAATTGTCAATAATCACATGCTATAATAAATTACCTCACTGGTAATTGGCCCATACAAATCATAAAAATAAAGAGACAACAAACTGGAATAACTCAAATATAATGATGATTATTCAAAAGCATCATTAAGTACGAGATAGCCAGGTAATGAACCAATGAGGCAATATATATTACATATCCTCAATGTAACCAGAATACCATCATGGTCGATTGCAGATTGAAGTGAATTTGCATGGATATCGTTTGGCATTTTTTCTTCTACGAGTATCTACCACAATTTTTACAACAGATGCTTATGATGTGTAGTCAGAAACAGCTGAAGTATGATGACTACTTTGCATAAATTACAATACAGTGGTTGTCAAACTATATGGGAATTGGTTGCTATGTAGCATATCCTAATTTTTAAACTAGTGCGACATGAATACATAAACAGTTACAGGCATATACACAAAATCTTCAATTTCAATGCTATCACAAGACCTTTAGGGCCCTTAAAATAGAATTTCATTTCTGCATAAAAACTAATTCTGTACTTGCATCACTGTTGGCTCATTGTCTAATGCAATCACACCAATATTTCAGACAGATAGTTTGTAGTTCTACATCACAAATTACTCAACAGATGTGAAAGCTGCTGGTATGGTTGCTATATTTCAAGAACCGCTAAACACTAAGTATGGGTCAGAAGTATTCAAAAGCTACCTTTCGATTTTTCAACGCTTCCAAACATATTAACAGTTACTGAGCAGGAAAAAAATGAACTAAACAGCTTTTTAATCAATGTGGTTATTATAAACTAATAATTCAACTGCAGCTCTGCATTTAGGAAAATATATTCCAATAATATATAAAAACTAAGTTTTGGTATTGAAAAATTTTTCTCTCAATAAAAAACTTTTTTTTTAGTTTCCAATAACTTCTCCCATATTATAAGTGTCAGATGATTTCAATAATAGTAAAATGGAAACAAGACTATCTTCACAATAAAGTGAGAACTACCTTTGAGTTAAGAATAAATAACAGCTTAAAATTTTTTTTTATTTTATTCTGAATGCATACACTCCCCTTTCTAGAGAAAATGAATTAAGGCGAGAATATGTGTTGCAGAGAATTACAAAATTAAACATTTATTTTAAAATAAGTTGTCAACAAAATTTTTCCATAAAAATGCATTTCCCCACAGAATTAACATGAAGACCAATATAGAAAATTTACCTACTCTTTAATTATTTAATATAGAATAGGTACTCGAGTAACTTTGGATGATTATTCGAGAATTACTACCAAACAATTTCAGTTTGTGTGTGTGTGATTATGGCAAAGCCTCGAGGGCTATCTGCCTAATGGGAGGGATGCCTTCATGGAGGACTTTCTAAGGGACTGGCTCGTATACACGTTACACATGGGGAAAACCACGAAAACGCCCATGCAGCCAGCCCATTCGCGGGATTCGAACCTCGGACCGAACTACTAGTGTTCAGCGACTTTACCGCTCGGCCACTGGTGGGCCCCAAACAATTTCAGATGCAGTGTATTTTTTATACTTATATTCTCATACTCATTCACTCCAAAAGTAATATTACTATGCATAAACTGAGCTCCTTGCCTTTTGTTTATTATATTTTAATGATCAGTACACAATACATAGTTAATATCTTTTTTTGAATTACTATACACATAATGTTCTTTAATTTTTTAATCCTATTAAGAAACATAGCATGATTTCTAATTCAAATTACATTTTAAAATAAAACTACTTTGTTGTGATATTGAGCCATATGAAGAAACAAAACAGTCGCTCGCAAAACACAGTTTGGCCATGCTTGATGTACTTTAAGAAGGTTGTGCTGAGTCAGTATGCAATTTAATGAAATTTCATGTTAATCACTGATTATTGAATAATGTACTACAAGGACTAACAACAGACATAAGTACCAATACATTATCAGAAACCATCTAATAAAATTGTGGCATAAAGACAAACATTCTATCGGCATATGTTGATGGTAGTTTCATATCATGTACATTTTTAATGAGAATCAGCAGTGCATTATAAGATGACTAATGAGCATATAAAAAACCTTTTAAAATATAATGTACCAAAATACTTGTTTGAGACAATGAAATTTATTGCTATTAAAAAATTTTAGGAACTACATAAAAATTACATAATTTAAATATATCGGATTTTTCCTTACCAACATGAAAAGTTTTCATGCAAAATATTTCTGCATCACTTAAGATCCATACAACTTCTCAAAATTACACAAAACCTTGCAAATAAAGATTAATCATACCTAATAGTTATTGGTTCGAAGATAATCTCCTAGTTTCTCGACAACTGTATTCAGCTGTCCTGGAGGAAATCCATCAGTTGTTGCAGCAACTAAGAGACCTAATAATATAATTAAAATGCTGAAATAAAGTTGTGAAATATTCTATTATGAGGCATATACAGGAAAGTAAGTTCCATTTCATTCTTTGTAGCACTTCAAGCACGCACACTAGTATTCTTTACTCCTCCTTTCCTATTGATGTCATTATGAACTATTTATGTTCTCAGTTTGCAATCACTAAAAATGTTCAAGGTAACTAAAGAAACTGACGACTGCAAGATTGTCTAGTTTATTTCTCAAATTTAAGAAACATGAAGCCGGCAGAAATTCATTGTCAAACTGAGAACTATAGTAAAAGTACAATGAGTGATACTATGACGAGAGGTAGGTTAAAATATTCAATGAAGCATGAACAAATATTCATGACAATGCACACAACAGGTGACTTTCTGTTTCAATTTTTAAGACAAATTGATGAAAAGCTGAGAGAATAGATAATTTACACTGTCAACACTTTGGTCACCCACTATGGGTAAATGTATTGACATCGGCGAAAACAGAAAAATAACTGAATAAATGACCTTTCATATAAATATAAAATTGACTTGAATACCATCTGTGGCCTTTCCTTTAGCAAAATGGAACTTGCTTCCCAAACATGCCATGTAAACTACATGCAAATTAAACACACAAGAAATATTCACAAATTCAATATTTTTCACCAATTTAAAATTGTTAGAACTTTTAAAAAATAATATAAATAGTACGAATATATACTGAAACAAAGGTTTGATCATAAAGCTACATGGCAGTTATAACCTTGATAACCATTTTTAAGAAGCAATCAGTACAAGACCAATACCAGAAAATCAACAATATTTAAATCAACTGCATTTACACATGGCTTTGTAAACATGAATTTGAATTCAGGATAAATACTGATGGTTTATTTTTTAAATCGCTTATTATAAAGATATTATTATACCTACTACCTTACTGTTCGTACTTATTAGAAGCAAATTAATACACTAAATGTCAGCAGATGTCCGATGCTTAAGTTTTAGTTTTAAAAGTTAATCAGTCTGTACTTTATATGCTGTTTAAAATATTTAATACATCTTTAATACTACCCAGAACTCTAAATGGTATTTTACATTTGTAGCATTAGAAAGCTAGACAAATATGTTTTTATTGAATTCATTATCAACATCTACTTATCAGAGTCTGATAGACATACTTAAGATTAGGTATAAAACAGCTTAGTTATTTATACAACATGCAGGCTGACAAGTAAAACGTTCAGGCTGATTGTTACGCCTTTCTACATTAAAAGATAAATAAGTGTAATCACCAATAACTTTCTTATAAAGCAAGTTCCTCTCCAGTTATGCTCAAGAATATTTTATTAGGTTCTTTTAAAAGTTTAAATGCATAAAAATGAAAAGGCATCAATGCAAAATTTGCCCAAGTTATAAAAAGCATCAAATTAAAATTGTCAACTAGCTGCAATCAATAATATTAGCTAAAATAATTAAATGGATTTAAAATTCAAAAAATTTATGTAGCTTCATATTTTGAATCGATAACAAGGTCTTAAAACTCCTTCTAATTCTTTTTTTTTTTTTTTTTTTTCCATGCCTCGCCAATTTCTTTTTTAACACAAAACTAAAAACTGAAAGTATAAATTAACAGTAGGTAAAAATCTGCATAGTACAAATGTTCTAATACTAGCAAAACCAAACTTAATGAATAATTATAATTTTTTCAAGTTCTTATTTATAAGCTAAACAGCAATTTTTAAAAATTCAAGCATTTTAATTATTGATAAAAACCTAATCCCCAAAAGGCTGCTTTTCTGAAAACTTTCAAGTTACATTAAATTTTTATAAATGCATCAAATAAACATGATATAAAAAATTTGCTTTATACACAGCAAAATATTTCTAAACTAGTTTATTAATTGCACTCTTTTTAATCAATCTCATAAAGCTATTTATGCAAATATACATTTATGTTACAATTACAATAATGTTACTTTTTTTGCTTTAAATAATTCGTTTAAAAATATAAAATGTCTTGGTACCAATGGATATCACATATAAGATAACAGCCATAAGGATATACAAAAATAATCTGCAAGAAAACAGGCCATAAGGATATACAAAAATAATCTGCAAGAAAACAGTTTAAACTAATTTTTTGAATATTTGATTTTCAAAAGTGAATGATCCTGCGAAACTCGCTTTATTACAGTTATATGGAAACGGCAAAAAAATTAGACTTTAGTAAAATTTCCAGTTTTGCAATATTTAGCTTTACACACAATACTTACTGCAATATATATCATTATTTACACTTAATATTTATTAGCATTTGAAAGTATGATATAAAAATAAAGTTACATATTTATACAAATTAACTACCTAAAAATCTTGATATGCAGAGAAGGATTTACAAAATAAATTACAGTATGCAAAGATGTGATGCATATTAGATAAAATTATTGAATTGCAGAATTTATTAGATTACATTTAGATTGATTTAACTCTTGTAAAATTAATATCTTTAATTTTGTAAAATTAATTTTAAAAATTGTAAAATTAATATCCTCAATTTTATACATAAAAACTGCATATCGTATCAAATTTAGCCCCTCATTAGAGTAGCCACCCCATATGCCTTTGGTGGTACTTGAAATTTACAGCTTTGGTGTTATGGCAGAGAGCCTGCCAAATTTACATCAATCATTGCAGTCGAAATTTAAAAGGAATAGCTCTTTAGTTAAATAACCAAAGACTGCTCTTAATTTAATATGCTAAACAACAGATACAGTTTGATCACATAGAAATTTAAACATAAGCTCAAATTTTGACATTTCCTGACAAATTCATTAAAGGAGAAAGTTCAACCTTTTGAGTAATGCGTACCATCTAAACAAAAATTGGAAACTTTTAGTACCACCACTACGACTCTTGAACAAAGCTCAGATCGCGTAAATTTATGAGTGTTAGAAAAAACTCAATCAGGATATTGGGGTTTTAATTTTTGAATTTAATAGTTAAAAATACTTTGCTTTTTTGTGTACCACCTATTTTTCTCTTGTGTACCACTTAAAGCAAGATTGCCAAAATTCTCCAATGGCATTTAATACAGCAACAAAGCGGTCTGAACTAGACAACATAAATTCCCTTAAAAGTCAATGTTAAGTCGTGTTGCACAGTTGTAGGACATTTTGTCAAACCCATAGATATTTATTTACATGTTCTACAAAAGGCAGATCTAGAATTTTAATTTTAGTCCTCACTTTTTCATGAAAGAGAAAAACAGAAATAAGCTACATGTTTTTACAAAAATAAACTAGCTTCATGAGGGTCATGATTACATAAACCAAAGCAAAAATCTCGCAAGTGCATTTTGATGTGCTGATCCAATACTGACAATAAAATTATGCTTTATGTGTAGCTGTCAAAACTGGTCAACGGTAAAATTTGAAAGTACCTCAATCATTAAAATATACAGTTTATTTAAATGAAAACTAACATGAAACACTTCCCCCAACACATAGGACAGCCATAGCCATATTAACTTGATTTTCTGCCTAATACACAAAAAACTACAAATTAAAATTATTTTGAAAAATTAGCATTGAAATTAGTCTTTAGTTTCCTCTCATGCAATACAATTTTTAGACACAAAAATCATGCAAAAAATTTCAAAAAATATATATTGCATTCACTTATCTGACAGCAGGAGCTGCCAAATGAAAAAACAACTTTATTTATTGCAATGCCTTAACTCTGTCATGATTAAAACAACTCAGTCAGCTCTTCATGTAAACAACTCAAAAACAGTTACCTACCCAAGACTGTTAGAACCTGCGACTTTCCCTAGAAGAAAGCAAATTTACAAAAGGTAAACATTCATACCCCTTCCTCTCTAACAATTCAGCTTTTCTACACTGTCCATCTAAAATTTTTGGATCCTTTTTATTGGGTTAACAGAAACAGGAGAGAAAAATTAATCTCATACAAAGTTTCAGCCTTTATAACAATTTGAATTGAAGCATAATAAAACCCTTGGATTAAAGACAAATTAAAACAAACCCACATTTCTGATCATGTGAAACTGAATTCTAACTAAACGAGTTCTTTCAAAATAAAATCAGTTCCTTCCAAATTAGTTACATATTATAACAGCAAAAAGCATTTCCCTTGAGCAAATATAGTAGTTCTGAAAAGAGCTTTATATTTAGTATAGTAATGCTCTGTTAAACACTATTATTACTTTTAAACATATTAATTCTAACAAATTAAAGAACTTAATTAAACAAAGAGATGTAACAAATATTAGATTGCATGATATAGTCTTACAAGTATTAGTGGCAACAATACATAATGCTGAGCTTCCTTTTCGGCCTCTGATTAAAGTATTTTCAGCTGACAGGCAGAAATACTTGTCACCCCCGAGATAAATACCGGATTCTGTGAAAGAACCTGGATTGGTTCTCATAGTGTCAGCAATTACTTTTAATTCTTGTTGTGTAACCTGAAATAAATACAAAACAAATTGTAGTCTGAAAACTTTGGATTATAATACCAATGAAGAATTTGATTACAAATTTTTAAAGATAAGAATGTGTAAAATTTAAAAAGCTTAGAGCTATTTCGCTCATAATAACTACAGTTGCTGGACATAAAAATAAACAGCAGAATGCTATTAACATTCAACTTGAAAAGAATCTGAACATTGAGAGTTTTTATTTATTTCTAAATGTTACATGACATTAAAACATGAAAAATTTAATATCATTTGAACAAAAAGTATTAACATTTTTTAACGTATATACTATACAGAAATTTAAATCATTAAATTTTATAATACTTTTTTTATCCACATCCTAGTTAAAAGTTGCCCACTCATTATAAACTATGAATTTGCGGGAAAACATTTACTTTGCTATCTTTACGGTTCATCATTATTGTTTTATTATAAGAAACAAATATTTTGGGAAAACAAAAATCGATAGACATAGTGCATGATTTTTTTTTTTTTTTTAGTTATTTTAGATGCTGCTATTGAAGTATTTTTAAGCATGAAAATAAATACAAGTAATTAAGAATACAGAAATTAATGATTTCATTGATTTGCAAACCCATTACATATAAACAGCTTCATAAGATAAATTCAGTAACTTTTATATGCGAACTAAAAGGAAAGAAAATATTAAACAGCAGACAATTTTAGTGCTGTCATCTATACCCCAAAACTCTCTACGGCCAATATTTACATCTTTATAGACAGATATTATTTGGTTAAACATACTGCATAGAAACACATCTGTACTCTCAACACGTGTACATGCATGCAACAGCCATTGTCATATGTATAATTGAAATTATGCCAAAACTTCAGCAGTTCTACCGAATGTCAAAATCAGATATAGATGATCAGGGAACTAATTTTATTTTTAATGTAGCCAATGTGAACAAAAAGCAGGATTAGAAATTTCATAATCTAACAGCCATAAAATACTGGAAATCTATTTTATTAATGATATTCATAATAAAAAATACTAACTGAAGCAAAATGATAAGAATTCTAGACAATTATTTTGACTATTTACACCCTCAAAAATGTTAGCAACTTATTGCCAGTTTTACGAACTGGCAAAATGTTTTGGCCTTCTTTGGTTTACATGTACAACTCTGTTCATAACAAAAAAGTATGAAATTTTAATACAGAAAAAAAAAAAAATCTATGTTCTTATTTTACATTTTTTTAGCCAGAAGATACTGTTCAAGTAAAATGGCACATGTGTGGGTTGGCAACTGCAAATATGCATACTCAAAAATACAACAATAAAACAATTCTACAAATACTGAAATTGGGAATGAAAATAATAAAAATGCACGCAAATCAAAAAGTTCTTTGCAGACGAAAACACTAATTCAAAAACAATTTTTAAATATTAAAGATATATGAAAGGTTTTAGCTGCTGAATAACTATCTATGTCAGATGCAAATTTTATCGAAACCAAAAACAAGTGTTTGACATGTTCAAGAACATTTTTAAAAACTTATTACAGGTAAGCCTTTTACTTGCATCATTATTTGCTCCAAGAATCTGACTGCAATATAAACCACGAAAATCAAGAATGTAATTACACACAGTCAACATTTCCACCCATAAGTGAAGAACTACTTTTTTATATCAGATAACTTCAAGGATTCAAGACTATAATTAGAGAAATCTAAGATAATTTGTACACATTCTGTCTATTCTAAAATTGCTAATAAACTCTGAGATATGAGATTTATCATATTTTGTGATAGAAATGTTTTAAAGATTAAAAAAAAAAAAAAAAAAAAAAGCAACTTTTTACTTTTGAAAGAAATTATCCTGGTATCTTCATAAATCGTTTAAATATTATTTCCATATTAAATACACAGAAGAATTCAATTTTCTATTTGTATTTATTAGCCCAGCATTAAAAGTCTAGAAAAATTTATCTTCATGCATACATAAATAGTATTAAACAACTTTTCTTGTTATACCATCCATTTATATAAATTTTATTGCCAACTCCTTAGTTTTTTACCCTGTTCAAAATTACATAGCTTTAAAATTCATTATGCCACTGAATTATTAAAAAAATCGGATTACATATCAGCCTAAACCTAGTAACCTGACATAATCTACTTTTTTCTAATAAATTTCTAATTTCGGAGATAAGGCTGTATAACTTGCATGAAAATAATGCATGATATAAATCAAATGATATAAATATAATGCATGATATGAATCACAAACAAAACAATCAGTATAAATAATTTTATAAAAGTGAATCAAATTAGTATGCACCTTTATGTCTTTTTATTACTGTTTAATTACAACACAAATCCATGTCGCATTTCTTAATAAGTTAATTACGCTCACATACAGGCAAATATCAGCCTAAATTCAAATACAGCAAAATGTACAAAAGTTATATATTGTACAGCTATTAAATTTCTGTTACTGAATATCTACATAAATTCACATTTTAAAATAAGATTTTCAATTTTTAAAGTTTATGTTTAAACCATATAAAAAATATTCCCTTTAACTGCTCCAGGTATAAGAAAAAAGGGCCATATAAACATCAAGTAACAGACCTTTAAAGAAATTATCTATTCCGTAAAGCATTAGATATGACAAGTCTGATTAGTTTTACCTCTATTAAGAAAAAAAAAAGGCACAATTCGGTTGATTTAAGTACTGAAGTATAAACATAACTTTAATAGAAGTCATATTAATAACACAGAAAAAAGTCAGTTTAAATTGAATGTAACAGCAGATAACTGACAGGTCGTACGATCACGAAAAGTATATAGATGCATTTCTCACTCGAAAATCACTTTCTAACAACACAAGAATTTATGAACTTCAAAGATAAAATTTCTCTGGCTCCTAACTAAAATGCACAGATGGCCAAAGTTTGTAATTATGAAAGTATCTACTCTGGAAAACATAGGACAAGGGGAATATGAGTCACCCCTACAGAGCTTCAAGTGTCAATAACCAAATACAGACATTTAGAAAACCAAACTAAATAAGTAGGTGAATATAATATTCTTTGAAATTATTGCTTATTTCCTATTTATGCTAAAATACAGAGGCTTTAATTCTTTTTAGTTGAAAATTATGGTTAGGGTTAAATGCCAAGAAGCACGCTGCTTACCGGCGTTACGCTTGAATCTTTCTCAAATTTGGCCCAAATAGCTCCATCTTGTAAACCTGCTATGGCAGCTAATCTACATGATACTTGAGCACAAATTTGGTTGTCTACATATGCTTGCCAAGACATTTCTTTAAAAAATTTTACGCCTTTAACAAAATTTACAAGTGCAGCTTTGCACCACCCAAAAACGCTCAAATATGAAAGAGAACACGTAGAGAGAACTTCAACCTTAAGTGATACACCTTATAAAAGTTTCATTGTAGTGTTGCAAATTACCACCAGATCACTTCTCCAAAATAGGTATTTGCATATTAATGAGGCTTCTAATTAGCCAGAATTTTTACACATAACTACTGAACGGAAATTAAAGAAGAATGAATTTATATAGTTTAGCCAGTTAAAAATGAAATCCGTTTTAACATTATTAAATTTACCACTGTCTTCACGCGTAAAATATAGAATTATATATATATAACGAAGAAATTTTGATAAAATGCATGGATGAAATACGGCTAAGGAAAGTTTTTTAAAATTGCAGAAAACTTCTAGATGTTTCTTTCAATGATTTTTCTTCGGAATGTTTCTTTCAATGAGTTAGAAATGAAGCTAGTTAATAATAAAAATTCAGACCTATTTTTATTATAAGAACAGTTTTTCCTTTCTTTGTTCCTTTTTTCTTTTCATTTTGTTTACATGCATGTGGTTATATAAGGAGTATTAATGACTGTGCTAAGCTTATTTTCCTGCTGGCATGATCGTAGAGAGGCTGCGACTAATTTCCCACTAGTAAGGGCAAGACTGCTTAGCTGAATATCTTATCTTAGGAGAATAGGCATATTGGCTAATAGCCAGTGCCCTATTTGTAAAATAAATACTATGAACGAAACGTTGCACTTACTCGTCGATCCAGACCTTGACTCTAAGTTATAACCACGGAGAATAAAGAAGGATGTCAAACCCTTATTACCAGTTTTCCCAAATGTGATCCACTATTTGTGGCATTATTTATGGAGGGCGTTGCAGTCATCACCGGTTCACCCTACCATACCGTTTTACACGGGCAGTAATAGCGGAAATACTGATTTAATATCTATTTTCAAATATCAGTAAGGCATCTAATAGAACCTGCTTCGTCCGTGGATGCAAGAGTGGGTATAGAAATGCACAAGAATAAAAACAGGGGCATGAATAATCCAAGCCTATTTAGAATTCCAAAGGTAATCAACATTTATATCATACCTGATCACAATTAGACAAATTTATATAACTTTTCCGAACATCGGAACTGTTAGTAAATAAAAGTATAAAAAAGTAGTAAATTGGAAATTAATAGAATATTGCACATAACATATGTGAATTTAATATGCATCTGCATTTTGGGCATGAAAGCAGGCAATCTTTAGATCCTTATATGTATCATGTAATATGTAAAACATAAAGAACATTATTACAACTAAAGAAATTGTTATAATGTTATTTATTTGTTTTTTTAAAGAATCAACTTTGGATATTGTTTAATAAAATCAAACAATATCCGAAGTGTCACCAAGCTTTAGGTTGCACTAATAAGTCAGCATAATTTTATTTTATGTTTTAAAAATTCCTATTCTTAGTTGTAATAATGTACCGTTTTATTTTTTTGTATTATACATTTTAATTGATTGGTGATTGATTCTGTCAACTAATTTGTTGATTGCTTGATTGTATTAACTTGATTTTTCAGTTATAAAAAATAAATAAATAACACTATTTATTTAAGCTAATTTAAGCGTAGAGAAACGTTGCTGTTGTTTCAGCAAAGATCTTATTTTCAGTTTCAGAAATTGCACCTGCTACGGCGGACCTTATTTATTTATTTATTTACCATCAGATGTGCAGCTGCACCGCCTTTAAAACATTCAGCTTTTATGGTCAACTGCTGGAATCATCTACCAACTGTGTTGTTATATATAAAATAAAATAAAGTTTTAGAATTTTGATAATTACATAATAAAAATTAAGTATCAAGAAATCAATACATATATACATAAATAGATACAATTTATAAAAATTAAAAATTTAGAATTAGATAAATGCCTAAATACAATGTTGTTAAATATGAAGTCAATAATGTATTAGAATATTTAGAATAATATAATAAAAAATTTTTAAAAATTAAATATTTAAATACATAATACTTAAATAAATATGTAAGTAAATTAAACATAAATACGTAAGAAGGTCATTACAAATTTTGAAAATAAACAACATAATGTATGAGAATAGTAGAGGCTGAGAATGTAAGTTTTGTAAAGGGTTTAGAACAAGACTATCGTTATTGATTATGGAGAGTGAAGAGTAGTAATTCAATAAAAGTTGATGAGAAATAGTATTTGAATGAATCAGGATAACTTGAATGAATTTTTTTTTGGAAATTCTTGATAAAAAGTAATTCTTTTGTAAATGTCCTATTGCCGACCTGAGGGGGATGAAAAAAAATAACATCGTAATGTTGGCCGTTTCAGGCGGTTTTAGTCATTTGAATGAAAGGCTATCTCTGGCGTTTTGGTCTTGAAAGGGTTAATGACTAGGGTTATTGAAAGGGTGACTGGACTAGTTTAAGATTCAAAAGAGATTTATCGAATGAGAGGCTTAAAGAGAGAAAGAGTTGGATAATCTGTTCTATAACTCCTAGTTTCCTCAAGGCAGATAGCCCTAGTGTGCTTTGCCATAATTAAATGCACCACACCCAGTTTCCTCATCTTAATCTGAAATCTAACACGTCCGGAAGGTGAAGAAGTCACGTGTATGACAAAATAGCATATCTGAATAAAATCCTGTAATTTTATAGTCTACTCTAGTTCTAGAAAGTGAGAGCATCAGGTGAGAAACGATATTTTTCATCAATTCCAAAAAACAAAAATTAGCTCGAGGAAAAAGGCATTTGAAAAAAAAAAAAAAAAAAAAAAAAACCTTTCTTTATGCTAATTTATAAATGATGTCTTTCCATCATTAATAAAATAACTCTTTTCTTTATTCCATCTCCAAAAATATAATTATCCAGTTTGTTATACTATCTCCAATTATACTTAATAAAACAAAAATTGTAAAATTAAAATGAAAATATTACTTTAAAAGTAACAAAGAGATCTTTTAACTGTCAAATATTTTTGTCTGTTCGAAATGAGAAAAGCTTTTGAAGCCAGAAATAAGCTTTTGTCCATTCAGTGTGAGTTGCTAATAGGTTTAAACAATTTCGCATAACGAGGCTCAATTCCTTAGAAAAGGAAGGAAAAGATTTATTCTTTCCTTTATTATGATATAAGATACATCCTTTGTTAGAAAAGTCCCAGGACATTTTTTTTCTTATTATTTCTGAGTCTGCAGTACTAAAAAGGAACACATGCTGTTTTTATGTTACCTGGTACGTATTCTTTCTTAATGAGATTCGCCAGGTTTCCACACAAACTTACTAAGTGGTAGGGCTGTGCTTAGCAACACACTGTTCGGATAGTTGTCGCATTAGTTAAAGTGATACAATGGATGCTGATAGTGAGCAAAAGGTGTTAAGCTCTCCGTTGAGCTCGGAAAAACCTCTAGTGAAACGGGGAAAACGATTAAGCAAGCATATGCTGGCGAGGCACTTTCAAGAAGTAGTGTTTTCGAGTGGTACAAAAGGTTTCGTGAAAGCAGAGATTCAGCGCTAGATGATCCCAGAGCTGGTCGCGCGCCTATAGCACATACCGATGGAAGCGTGGAGCTTGCAAGGCAGTTATTGAAAGAAAACCGTAGTATAACTGTGCATATGATATTAGAAGTGTTGAATTTGAATCGTGATGTGTGTAAAAGATTTTACGCGAAGATGTATGGAAATGCAAGAATCGTCCTTCACCACTGACCGATGAAAAGAAAGATGAAAAGAAAGACGAAAAACAAAGAATTTCTTCTGAACTATTGGATACAGCCAGACGTGATCCCACATTTGTATCAAGGATTATTGTGATTTTTTCTTGTTTCCATGAGTGAAAAGGTGATGAAAAGAAAGCTTCATCAAGATTATTGCAGACATTCAACGGACTGTGACAAATGAGCCTGCAAGCATCGCAGCTGGAGATTTACCTGTTTGCTTCCAAGACCTCCATAAACATTGACAGTTATGTATAGGGAGACTAAGGGGACTATTTTGATAGCAGCTAGGATCATTATTTGGTTAATGCAATTTTCTATTTTTTAAGACCTTTGTCCCGAAATGTTTTCGACAAAGGATATATTTAACAGAGCAACCTGTGTATGAATGTTGGTCCAATTTATTTAATTTGTTATTACCAAGCCAAGTGGATTAAATATAAGTTTACAAGGAATTTTCTCTTTCCTCATGGTATGTCTTTCATGGTAAACTTTCTTTATGCTAATTTATAAATGATATTGGTGTTATTGGGAGTTCATCTGGCTAGCAGTATAAAGAATCTGGTTGGTAAAACGGTGAGCGTTCATTATCCCTCTTTTCGGAATAAAAAATAATAAAACAAAAATTTCTGAATCGCTGTACATGCCATGGCTTCGAACAAAAATTGGGTGCATGATATTTCTTCACCACTTAGATTTAACAACTCAGTCTCCTCAGATACCCTTTAAGTGGGAGAGAATATGAAGAATTTTCTCCTTCATTACCGAATGCTTTTGTGGTGTGATTGAAAGCATGTCCGGCTAGAAATCGAAAGGTGCGGAGTTGGAATTCTAATGAGAAAGTGTGTGTTTCTTTTTTTCCCTATTTTCTGTAAATGCCTAATTGCTCTATATTATGAAAATGTTGGATATTATGAGCCCCTTGGTATCCATATTAAGCGGCGATAGAGAAGAAGAAGTAAAGATACATCCTTTGTTATAATCTAGCTTATTAACAGAAGCAAGCATCATGTGTGCTACCAAAGTAATTCAAATGATTGTCATCACCCTAAGTAGACTCCATCCTCCATCATCTTAAATCGAAAAAACTTACTATTTCAAAACTCCCAGAACGTATGTTCTCTGACCCAAAAATTATTTCATCAAAAAAGAAATACAGGAAGTTATTTTCATTGCAACCTGTTACTAGTTTCACAAACTTATGAAGGTTTTGCGCTGGATTTAATTTGTTGCCGTTGAGCAAGCTGTTTGCACGAGTGTTTCGTGATTTTCCTAGTGACTATTTGCATGAGGATTTCTTGAATTTCGTTATTTTTGTGTAATA